ATATATATATATATATATTTATATTTAGAACTCTATTTAATATATTGTTATTTTTCAGGAAAATACAACAGCTGGGACAAAGTGGATCCAGCAGAACTTTTTAGCAAAGCTCCCACAGAAAAGAAAGAAGCTAATCCCAAACTGACCATGGTGAAGTTTTTACAGGTATTCTTTCTTACAAGATTTTTTTTTTTTTCCCCCAGGTCTTCACACACAGGCTATGGCAGTTTTGGGAGACTTTCACTGAGACAGAGCTGTGCTGACTTTTTTCTAGTCCTGCAGAAAAGCACCTTGTAGGCAGACTTCTGGTCCCATGAAGCACAGCTTGCTTCTCCCTTCAACCACTATTCAAGTACCTGCAGACTTCTTGTCACTTCTGCTATATTCTTCTAATGTTTTTATGCCAAAAAAAGTCTCTGGTATTTTAAAATAGAAATAAAAAGTATACAGTTAGTGAGGAGGTATATCTTTTTTTTGAGTTACTGAAGAACTGTGCTGATTTTTCTCACAGGTGGAGGGAAGAGGCTGTGATTGTATTGTCTTGTGGTTGGATTGTGATAAGGAAGGTGAAAACATCTGTTTTGAAGTAAGATTTCAATTTTTTAAGACTTGGAATACTGTAATGTGTCTGTGTTATACAATACTATCAGCATATTGTTTTATGGATGTGCAGTAAAATTCAAACTAAGTTGAATTTTATAGGCACAGAGGGCCTTGGAACAACTTATATGCTTTTGAGCTCTTGACATGACAGTTAAAAAGAGTATAAATCAATCTGAGATGAACAGTAAGGTCTCTTAAATGTTCAGACATTTCAGTGCTTTGAGAATTGTCTGTATTTCACAGCTGGAGTAGTTACTTTGCTGTCCTTATAAAACTGGATCTCTATTATCTTCTGTTCATTAAGGGATTAGATTCTCTTGAGCAGAGGCCACTTATAAGTAGAGGCTTACTGCAGGAATGTGGACTCTGCACGCAAAAAGTACAGAACTAAAACTTGGGTGTGCAAAGATATTTTTTCAACATCCAGTTCCCAGAAATCCAGATGAAGAATATTTTTTGGGGTTTTGTTTAAAGAAGCACATTTTATTGAGTAATTGTTTTTAAGTTGTTTCAATGCCACTGTCTCCTCACTGGGCCCTGGTGAAACAGAGAATAAACCCAGACAAAAAGTGATACATGTTCACCCAGAGGTGCTGCTGTTCCACTGGTGAATGTCTTTGCACTTAGGTAAGGATAGTGCTGCACTTCCAGCAGTCGCTGTTTAATAAATAAATCTTCCAGTTTTGCTAATTCTTAGTACACTTCTGAGTGGATAGACAAAATACTGCCCTTGCTCATCAGTTAGTATACTGGCATGGCATCTTACTCAATGAAGGAGGTTACATATCAGCAATTGTTTTGTGGAGGGTGAGGTTTTTTTCTTCGGAGAGAAAAACTGACTTTAAGCCCTTACATTTCAAATATGCTTAAAATATGTTTCTGATCTTCGTTAGGTTCTTGATGCTGTTCTTCCTGTTATGAACAAACCTCGTAGCTCCGAAAGGACGATTTACAGAGCTAAGTTCAGTTCTATTACTGACACAGACATCTGCAATGCCATGAACCACTTGGGAGAACCCAATCGCAATGAAGCTCTTTCAGTGGATGCTCGCCAGGAGCTGGATCTTAGAATTGGCTGTGCGTTTACAAGGTGACAGCAGAGATTACAGACAGTTCTGTGAAAGGTTCAGGAATACTCCTCTGTCCACAAAATAGGTCTTGGAACTGTAGTGTCTAACTCTGCTCAGTGCCAAACCAAACAATTTTGTGCACAGACAAATTAAAAGAAATAAAAAAACTGTGTTATTACTTTGAGCTAGGTAAAGTACTGTCAGCGACTATGATATGATCTTATTTTATGATGTTCTTCCAAATTTGGGAATAAACGTGATTCAATGAAGCAAAGTAATTGTGACAGTTAGCTGTAAGAGTTGATATTTCTCAGAGTGCTGTTTTCCTAGTGCCTGAATGATTTAATAGATTACTTATATTTGTGTGTAAGTTAATGAAAACTTTTGCTTTTCATGGGAATGAGGATATTAATGTACTTATTCTTGGTGGGTTATTTTTTCCCCTTTCTTAGGTTTCAGACTAAATATTTTCAGGGGAAATACGGGAATTTAGACAGCTCTCTCATCTCCTTTGGGCCATGTCAGACCCCAACACTTGGATTCTGTGTTGAAAGACATGACAAAATCCAGTCATTTAAGCCTGAGACTTACTGGGTGTTGCAAGCTAAAGTAAGTTTTACAGTACTTGTTTGTGTGTGAGGAAAACAAAAATATATTTTTACCCAAGAAATAAATTTAAATTTTGTTTACTCATAAATTTGTAGCTGCTGACAAGAATTCACAATGCCTACAGTTTACTCATATGTTCTCATTCAGTTCATATGTGTGTCACTCCTCTCTCTTGAGCAGATTCCAGGATGTCAGTTTTGTTTTAAAGTGGTTATTGTCTTCTGCTTATAAAAATTCTTCAGTGCTAACGATCTAAGCTTAGAGTCAGCCAGAAAGACTACTTAAAATGGTTTTCTTTTGTTCCCTGGGGTCCTTGGACCAACTGTGTTGTTAATTTGAATCCAGGAATTAATTAGGCTGCCAACAAACATTGGCATTGCTGAGTATTGGAATTTTAAAGCAAATAAAATGCTCATTGTGTTAATTGGCAATTGAGTCCTCTGAGTACTTTGGCAGCTTCTAGTAGTTTTATAGCCCTGCTGCTGTCCAAGCTCTGAGAGCAAACCAATGTGGTTTTACTGCTTGTGATCACAAGGATTTTTTAAACAAATAAGGGATGGATGGTAAACAGCTGCCAGTTTTAGATTTTAAAATTAAAAAAATATTTAATCTGCTGTCTGCTGTAATCTCTTTTCTGATGCATCCTATGTGTCATTCTAGGAAGTTTTTGCTGCCTGTTTTCAGAGAGTTTTGTGCTCCCTTATATTAGTTGCTTCATATTTATTTTTGTACGTGGGACTTAAAGCATGATCTAGATACAGTTGAATACAAATTAATGATTTTGCTAAATCAAAATGGTAAACTCTCAATTTCTGCCCATGGCAGCCTTTTGTGTTCCCATCACTAAAAACAAGAGTAGTATTTCAGTTAGCTACAGGAATAATTTCAGTCATTCCCCTGACTCCAGAAATTGAAGTACTATATCTTTCTCAAAAGCCCTTGTGAAAATGTATACAACTGCATGTTTGAAGCACTTGTGTCCTAGTACAGGTATTACTGGGATTTGTTTGCTGGATTGTTGTTGGAGATGTGGATTCTCACATTTCAGATAATAGAATTGGTGGGAATGAATGATTTTTTTTTTTTTTTCCCTCTTTTTTTTTTTTTCCCTCTAACAGGTGAACCCTGAAAAAGAAAGTTCTCTCACTTTGGATTGGGATAGAGTGAGGATGTTTGATCGTGAGATTGCTCAAATGTTCCTGAATATAACAAAGATGGAAAAAGAAGCAAAGGTAAGAATATTTGCCAAGTGTCAGTAGAGCCATATTTCATACAAAGGAAACACCACGTAATATTTCATTTGCTGCATTTTGTTTTGTTTTTCTTAAAGAAGAATGTCAAATACCTGTATCTGGGTTTTTACTCCGTTCAACTTAGTCTAAATGAGAATAAAAGACAAGATTTTTTTTTTAATTGTAGTTCATATTGTGCTAGTGTGTTCATCTCAGCAGAAACCCCTTCTTAATATTGACTTTGGAAATGATCATCAGTCGTGGTAGGAAGTCTTCTTTACTAAACCTTTTAGGAAATACTGTTCAGATCCCTCCAAGCAGACCTCATATTTCCCATCAGACATTGTATAAATCAGAATTTAATTACTTATATGGCAGTCTTCCTGCAGTTAAAATTTTATTCGTGGTACAATCTTTATAGCAAATTAACTTCTAAGTCTGCTCTGTTCAATACTGGTTGGACAGTATGTTTGCATTGCTTATAGCCATCAAATACTGCATGAAGCTTTTAAAAATCTGAATCCTTATAGTTAGGACCATTACTTGAAATAAGCACTAAATCCTTGTAGCACTGAAAGTATGTGCTGCTAAGGTAAATGGGAAGTAAAGGTAGCAATAAGCTACCTTGCTGCATTCCCAGTTACAGGCCTGATCTAGTCCACAGCACAAAGGGACAGGGACCGTAGAACTGTAAGTTCACAATTTGGTAAAATGATCTCCAGTCAGAGTTCCTAAGGTAAAAATATATTGGTGGTTACTGTTTTAAGAAAACAAACCAAATGACAAGAATAGATAATGGTAGGTTTGCCATGTGTTTATAGGCGTGATTGAAATTATACATTTACTAGTTACCAAACTTCAAAACTTTTACTGAGGAAATGCTATTTTCTAGGTAGAATCTGTGAGTAAAAAAGAGAAGGTGAAGCAGAGACCACTGGCTCTGAACACGGTAGAGATGCTACGAGTGGCCAGTGCTGCTTTAGGTATGTGTAAAAGTTCAGATTTTCACACTGTTTTAAAGCAAAATATTTTGGCTTCTCAGACAAAGTAATCAAGGATGTATCAAATATAGTTTGATACCCTCCTCTCCCTGAAATACATAATTTTTAGGGGAGGATTGAGTTGAGAAAGCTTGTCCAAAGTGAAATGTTGGATGAGATCAAGGAGACAAAAGTCTTACATAAAGAGCAAAGAAACCATGATTTATTTAAATGCTTTCAGAAGGAATACTTTCAGGTACAGCAAACAAATCATAATCGCAGTGCTGTACAGATGACTTTCTCTTTTCTCCTGTCCCATCTTAGGAATGGGTCCTCAGCATGCTATGCAAATAGCAGAGCGTCTTTATATGCAGGGTTATATTAGCTACCCTCGAACAGAAACTACCCATTACCCAGAAAACTTTGACTTGAAAGGATGTTTGAGACAGCAAGCCAATAATCCTTACTGGGCAGAAACTGTGAGTACATGAAGCAAAATCTGTGCTAACAGATCATTCTCTAGTCTGTGTCTTATAATATGACTTATTTGGTACATTATGACCTATAGGTCTTCAGAAACAATGAATATCTGTAATTGCTTTTATTTATGGTTACTGTATTGTTACAGACTTGACCTGAAAAGGTTCTTAACCTGCTAAGAGACTTGTTATCCACTTCAGCCAGATTGTTTTCTCTCTCTTCCTTCACCCAGGTTAAAGCATTGCTATCAGAAGGCATTAATCGTCCCAGGAAAGGCCACGATGCAGGCGACCATCCTCCCATCACCCCAATGAGAGCTGCAACAGAAGCAGAATTAGGTACAGGGGAATTCAGTAGTGTTGGAACACTACATGGGGAAATTAGTTCCTTGATGTATGGAAGATGGTTTGAAAATCCCTGAGTTTCAACAGAAAATACAATTACTTGAATGGCAGGAAGTGAAGACAAAGTAGACTTTATCCTAACCTAAAACTTCTGATGACAGTGAAGTTCAAAGCTGGTCTGCTTTTCAGTAATTGAGCCCTAGGGACCATAGTACTGCTAAGAAAAAGTAGCCAAATTAACAACCTAATGCCTACTTTCTCTAGGAGGAATTTGTCTCAGAACAGTACCTTCCAAGTATTGGAATTTTATTGTGTTTTTGTTTGTAAGTCAGGCTTCAACTGCATTTTAATTTGGTCTCTGTGGTTTGTGATTTTTATATTAGAATGACATTTGACTTGCTGTACGTTGATTCTTCAAAAAAGCATTTTGAGCTTATAACAAAGCATAGTGGATGTATGGTGTTGTTTATTAGGAATAGCTGAGATTGTCGTAGAAAACGGATAGCTTCTGATTTTCTTGAATTGGTGAAATAATCTCTGATAGAAAAATAAATGCTTTAAAATTTAGAGTAATTGTATAAGATACCGAGTGGTCATGTAAGATATTTTTATATACACAGCAACCTAAAATATGTGAAGCACAGGACTAAGAATTAGAAGCTGTTCATAGCAGTGTAGCATTTCAGCTATTCCACTTCTTATCTATAGATTGTGAATAAGGAAATTTTGCTTTGAAAATTAACCTGTATTGGTGTTAGTAAGTAGTGTGTTAGAGTGATCTCCTGCAGGCCTTCCAGCTGCCCAGTGTGGCAGTTGCCACTAGAATCCCATTTAAGGATTTAGATTAGGATATGGTCTCCAGTGGTACTAATCGTTAGATCATTTTATTTCTCTTCAAATATTTGTTTGGCTTTTTATTTAACAAAAAAAAAAAAAAAATAGAAGCCTTTTGTCCTTCACCCTCTCATTCAAATGCACTGCAAAACTTGGAGATGGGCTGGCTGAACTGGCACTGTTTCTCCAAGAGCGACTGCATGCAGCTCATGTCTATGACATGGCAAGTCTTTGGGCAGGGAATTTGAAAGGGGAAGCTGGATGGACTTCTGAATGTTATTTTTTCTTTAGGTACCAGCTTTTCCTGTGATGCCTGCAGAAAGCTGGTACCTTTTAGTGCAGACTTTATGTAGAGCTGCTGGACTTGAGTTTTGTGGGTAAGGTGCTGTTTATCCTCAGGTGGAGATGGATGGCGACTGTATGAGTATATAACGAGGCATTTCATTGCCACTGTCAGTGCTGACTGCAAGTACCTGCAAACCACCATTTCTTTCAGTATTGGCCCTGAACGTTTTACCTGTATTGGAAAAATGGTAACTTCACCAGGTAAGACTAATCAGAGAGTGAATAGCTATGGATTTTTTTTTTTTCCCATTAGTACTTTGAATGGATATAAAAATGAAGCTCTGGGGATGAGGACAAATTTTTTGAGCTACCAAGACCAGGGACTAAATCTTTGTCTTAATTTCCATACTTCAATTACACTAGAAAAAGTCTTATTTTTTATGTAGTAATCTCAAAGATTTAATGCCATGTTTGCCAATGTGAAGACCAGTCTTCTTACAGACAGCGATTGCCTTTTAGGGGATAAATTTCACAAAGGCAGATTTTTTTTTTTTTATTTGTCCTCTGTAAAATAAAAAAGTAGCATCACCACTCAGACTTTTATATTGTGTCACAATTGTCTTTATTACATTAATGTGACTTGCTATTTGTTATTTCCTTTTTAAGAAACTTCCCATCCATTCTGGCACTGTGTTTTCATTCAAGGAAAGTGCTTAATTTTTTTCATACCTCAACCTGATTCAAGTCACACAGAAAATATATTTGATGCAGTGTAGTGAGAGATACTGTCTTGGGATACTGTATTTCCTCAGTACTCCTAACCTCAGATATTTTCTGCAAGCTATGGCAGACAGCCTCTTGACTATTATTTATGCAATGTTAAAATTAGAAACATATACCTTGGCCTTTTGAAAGCTGTGAAGATAAACTGTCACTGTCTTTGTTTCTTTACCTGCAGGGTTCACAGAAATTATGCCATGGCACAGCATCCCATTAGAAGAGAGCCTTCCCCCCAGTGAGAAAGGAGATCTTTTTCCAATTGGTGAAATAAAATTGCTGGAAAAGCAAACCAGTCCTCCTGACTACCTGACAGAAGCAGAGCTTATCACTCTGATGGAGAAGCATGGCATTGGTAGGAACTTGCTGAGCTTACATTACCATCCACCAAGAGTGAGAGTCTGAATTGCTCCTCTGAGCTCTCGGTCAGTAATGACCTTTCAGTATTCATTTGGATGGGTACAGTAATAATCTTTTTGCCTTCCAACCACAATGTCTGTAGCTCCCCTTAGCAGATGGTTGATTGTCTCTTCCCCTGCATTCATTTCCCTTTCTTATCCCTGTGCCTAGTTTCTGGCCAAAGCAGTATCCTTTCTTAACACGTCCTTGTCACTTCTCTGTCAGAGACCTGATGTTGTGTAGAAGAGGGCACTTCCCTATCCTTAGGAGTGATTTCTTACCTTTACAGCTTGCTTCAGCTTGGCTGGCTCAAATAGTCCCTATATCTTATTGTACAATTTGCCACAATAGTACTTTTCTTTCTAAATATGACTTGTTTCCTTCAGTGCATTTTCATAAATTTGTTGAGTCAAAACAAACATAGTCCCTTAGTCTGTATTTTTCCAGAATAGGTGATTGTGGGTAGGTATCTTCCCAATAGCAATTCCTTGGAAGAGACAAAAAGATTAAGGTTAAAATATATGTTTCAGACTTCTCAAAATTGCAAAGGAACATAAAAGTTACTAGAGAGAGAAGTTATCAACTGGAAGTTGAGTAACAGTAAAAAGGTTTTGGAATTTTAAGTAGTCTCAGGAGCCCTATAATTTAATATCAAACCAGAGAAATCAGAACTAATTTGATGAAAAATTTTTGTTCAGGATGGGTATTTTGCCTTCCTTTTGTGTGGCAGGAACTGATGCAAGTATTCCGGTCCACATTAACAACATCTGCCAGCGAAACTATGTCACAGTGGAGAGTGGTCGGAGACTGAAGCCTACAAACCTTGGCATTGTTCTGGTTCATGGTTATTATAAAATAGGTAAAATACTCTTCCTTTTCTATCCTCTTGCCTTTGTTTCCCTTCAGTATGTCAAGGGCTGTTGTCACTATATAAGCAGTTATATATATATATATATATATAAGCACTATATTTCTATCTCAAATGAGGGATCTGTAAAAGTATTACAAATTCAGGAATCTGTAATAGTTAATACTTTTTTGTTTATTTTGATGTCAGTTTATATATGAACAGTTTCCTACCCCGTTTTTTGATCTTTCATTGCTGCTGCTCTGTTGCTGCCATCTCTGGTTTTCTGTCAGATGCAGAATTGGTTCTACCTACGATCCGCAGTGCTGTAGAGAAGCAACTCAACTTAATAGCTCTGGGCAAAGCAAATTATCATCAGGTTCTGGAGCACACCCTTGACATTTTCAAAAGGAAATTCCATTATTTTGTGGATTCTATTGCAGGTAAAAGTTTTTACTTGTGAAGTTCCCTACAATTAATTGTTACAAAGATGCTAGTAGAAAATACTTGTATGTTTGGTTCCTGTCAGAGGTTTAGGCTTACTGAAAAGTTGTACCACGACTGAAGGTTTCCAGTCAAATTAAGTTGCTTTCTGCAGAGAAATGGGCTGAATCATGGCTCCAAAACTCTACTTCAAATTTCTTGTGTGACTGTGTAGCAGTAAGTTTTCAAAACCTTTGGAATCACTGAAGGTTTTAACCTTGTGTGTTTGTGCACGTGCAGTTCAAAACACTGTATTTTGAAAGTGTTCATGAACAGGAAAGAGCATTGTGAACAGAATATTTCAATTCTCACTTCTTCACAGGTCTTGTAGGTGATTTTGTGCAAAGTTTCCAATTAAGAACTAGAATTCTAACAAAAATGTGACTATTTCTTTGGCAGGTATGGACGAACTGATGGAAGTGTCTTTTTCACCCTTGGCTGCCACAGGTAAACCCCTTTCCCGCTGTGGTAAATGCCATCGTTTCATGAAGTATATTCAGGTAAGTTCACCTCATGCTTGGAATTGAAATTGCACTAGCTGGGGACTCTTGAGTAGAAACCCCTTTTCCATTATTGAGTTTGAATTAAAGTGTAGCTGTCAAGAGTTCTTTTCTAAATCAAAAAGCCTGATAGAGTTTTTCCATAGGGAACAAACCAGAGTGCAGCCCCAGTTAGATTTACTGCAAGTTTTGAAGTGTATTGATGCTACATTTGTTCACGAGATTTGTTTTCTCTTTCCAGGCCAAACCAAGTCGTCTACACTGCTCTCACTGTGATGACACCTACAGCCTCCCACAGAATGGTACCATTAAACTCTACAAAGAGTTACGTTGTCCCCTAGATGACTTTGAGCTGGTGTTGTGGTCATCTGGATCCAGAGGAAAGAGCTACCCACTCTGTCCATACTGTTACAACCATCCCCCCTTCAGGGACATGAAGAAAGGTAGGAATTCTGTAAACATGCATGGATCAACCTTATGAAGTAAGTTAGATGCAGTCTATACAGTGTGCTTTTTAGCAGTTTTTAATCAGTGTTGCTTAGTATAAAAAGTGCTGTTAAATTAGATTATAGATACTTAAAATTCATGTCAAACTTGCTGACCAGAATGTATTAGTTAAATAATTTCTGGCTACTATTTTTTTCTTTATAAAAGAAGTAAGAAACTAATTTACATGTGTGCATAGTAGGTGACCTTCATAACACTCAGTGTGTGTGGTGAAAGACTGTGATTCTGACATCTTGCAGATTGGAGTATGCTTGGTACAGATAGCACTGTAGACTAAGCCCAGGTCTTGAGGGTGCTTTGATATTGAGATAAATGGTGTATCAAAAGCTGTTGAAGGATATAAGAAGGGGTAGATGTTGCAGTTTTTAGTAACTGTGAGACTAACACTCAGAGATTCATAGTGCTACTTTAAGGATCAGGGCCTTTTGATGTCTTTTTATTACCATCTTTTAATTAAAAATGTCTTGTACTGACGGTGTATAGTGCAAGTAAAAAGTAGTAGTTAGTTAAGAGCCATACATTTAACTGAAAACGTAATTAGTTTTCATCACTAATGTGGCCAAACTGCCTGTACTGTACAGAAGCAGTGTCTGGCAATTCTGAAAGCCATTATAGAAGAATTCACAAGCAAGAGATTATTCTGAATCTGTGAAAAGGCAAGATGCCATTTGCAGAGTGGTTTCATTCTTTAGTCATTTAGAAAACCTGTAATAGCCTAAGCTATTTGACTTGCATGTCTCACTTCATCCAAAGTGGGTAGTGTACACGGTGATATAAAGGGTTCCTTTTGGTATGGTTCTACTCTTCTTCCACCAGGAATGGGCTGTAATGAATGCACCCACCCCACGTGCCAGCATTCTCTTAGCATGCTTGGAATTGGGCAGTGTGTTGAGTGTGAGAATGGGGTTCTGGTGCTAGACTCGACATCAGGTCCCAAGTGGAAGATGGCCTGCAACAAATGCAATGTGATTGTGCATTTCTTTGAGAATGCCCACAAAGTCCGAGTGTCGCCGGAGACCTGCGACTTGTGTGAGGCAGCCCTTGTGGACGTAGATTTTAACAAAGCCAAGTCTCCTCTGCCTGGTGATGAGACCCAGCATTTGGGCTGCGTATTCTGTGATCCTGTGTTTCAAGATCTGGTGGAGCTGAAACACGCAGCCATGAGGCACCCCATGCACCGTGGGGGACAGGGAAGGAGGCAAGGTCGAGGAAGAGGTAAAGGCCGGAGGCCTGGGGGAAGACTCAATCCAAAGAAACCCAAGGACAAAATGGCAGCTCTGGCTGCTTACTTTGTATAATGGCCACACAAAAGAAAAATAAACTTCTTAAAAAAAAAAATTGTTTCCCTTGAAGTTAATTTTAAAATATTTTTCATCTTCACTGCTTTCTTGTTCTTACAAAAGTTAGACAGCTTAGATTGTTTTATGCCTTTATTTAATCACAAAACAAATTTTTCTGGGTGATCCATTAGTAACTGAGTAAGCCTTTAAGCTTTTAATTGGAATTTATTGGTCTGAGTAGAGTGCATCAACAATAAGGAGGCTCAGGAAGTCTACCTAGACTGTTACCTCTGGCTCAAGGAAAAGAAATGGAATTTCCCTCTTCTGCTGTTTCTGGGGTCTTTGTTGGCAACACAAATGCCAGGAATATAAGAGCTGATTAAGATCGGTGTTATGTTGCTATAGTTTTAGATGTGGAATGAGACTTGGCTCATCTGACTTGAAGTCTTCAAAAATAGTACATGACTAGTAGCCATCAGATTTTCAAATTACATCTGCAAAAGCAAGAGCACTACTTCAATTCCATCACTCTACTGCAGAAGAGAATAATGCCAAGAGGCATACAAAATGAAAATTATAAATGTGAAGGGGAATATCTGCCTCGAGTAGTGATTTCCAAATTGTGGTCCATGCAGCCAAGTTGGTGTCTTTTGGTCGATGGGCCTCAGATAGATGAGACCTCCTCCTGCTGCTGGAGGTCAGATAGAGTATCCATGTTCTTTTCCTATGTTCACAGAGCTGATCGTGCTATTTTTCACTGTCTGTACTCCAAATGGTCACTTCAGTGGTCATTCCTTTTGTCATCAAAAGGAAGCTGTCCTCCTGTTTTTATATGGAGCTGTGTCTAACTGCTGGATGCCACCTTACACTATCTTCATTGTACAAGTAACACTTTCTCCTTTCCTTCCGTGTGCACGTAGCTGATCATGTCTGGTCATCTGGTCAAGTTGTGTCACCTATACCCCAAACCAGTTTCAATGCTAGCTGTGGTTGGATGGGAGGATGCCGTCGCAGCTTGACATGGTGCAAAGGCTGCTGCATTTGAAACAGAATATGCAGAGGGCAACTTGACATGTGATTCACTGGCAACAGAAAGAAAAGGCAAGTCCCTGCAACAGCTAGTGTACAGGTCTGCTGTTTTCATTGGCACAGTGCATGCACTTACTGTGCAAGAGAACATAGACTAAAAAACATGGCCCCAAGCCTGTTCCTGTGGTCAAATGTTTGTACAGTTACAGTTCAAACATGAACTGTGTCTTAATAGTATTGCGTAAAAGACCCAGACATAGGTAGAAGTTTCTTTCTGTAGTTTGTGTTTGTTTTTTCCTCAATATTAAATGTTCTCTCTGGTAAAAACAAACTGTCTTTGCATCTCCCTTAGCCTGGAGCAACTAGCTTTTTTCAGGTTTTGAAGTTCATCGTGTTGTAGTGTCTCAGAGCCATTGATCTTAGCCTAAGCTATAATAGCTTTCAGGATGCTTGTATTGTTTCAGTTACCTGGGTCTTCTCCTACCTCTGTAGCCTGCTTTGGTACATTAGGATACTGCTCTGAAAAGATCTGCATACTTGGCTGGCTTCTGCTGTTGGCTGGGGTTTGTGTGATACTTAGAAAGGACGGCTCTGGAAGAGTGGGAAACCTGTCATTCATCATTCTTAGTGGCTTTTGACCTGTGTGAGAACACCTCTGAGCACAGCTTTCGTTTTGGCCATTTGCAGACAAACTTTTGCTTTAAAAATTTAAAATCTCTGCTGTATTATCCCCAGTGGAAATTAAGTTCCCTCAAGTGCTTAGGATGATCTGTTCATGTGTTCTGGCAGATTTCAGTGGCTACCTTGTGAGTACCACAAATGGAGAAGTTCTTTCTGACACAGATAAATTAATATCTGTGAGCAGTCACATGGGTGCCTGAGGAATGAAGGCATTTGTTCTGTGCTGCACCAGTGGCTGTGGAAGATTCTTCACCATCTCCAGCTGGGCAGCACAGGCTGGCCACAGCCTGGGCGAAGGCTGCATGGTGCAGGAGATGCTGGAGTGGGCTCTTGGTGCTGCAGCCTGGCACACAGGCTGGTGGTGGTGATTTTTCTCCAGGGTGGAGTGGAAAAAAATGCAGAGGTGATGAGCACTTCCAGTTTCTACTTAAAACTTAGCAGCATATTCCTAGGATTTCTTTGAAAGGTACAAGAGAGCAAGAAACTTCATAAAATTTTGAAGTCCCTGGGATGTCTCTAACATCTGAAGGTGAGCACTGCATGTCTCATGTCTACAGTTCTTACTGGAAATAAGAAAGGAACTGCAGGTTATGAAATTTATCTCTTCTACTTTCAGTTTATATTCCATTGAAGAAGCTCAGGGGAAAGCTTTTATTTAGGAAGTTACCTTTGAAAGAGCATCATTCACTCGAGAGGAGATTGATTTGGCTCCTGTAGCTGATGACAGAATGAAAACGAATTGGTCTGTGTGACATGGCTGCGTGCTTGTTCCCGCTGGGATGTCCCTAGTGCATATATAATGTATATGTATAAATAATATAATACGCATAATAATTAATATGATAATTATTTTTGTGTGGAAGGAAAAAGGATTAGATCTGAGATAGGAGCAGGGAAAGAATACAGTCCAGACAAGCCCTGTCTGTCTGAAAGTGATCAGTGGCCATTTTAGGGCTAGTGATACTGAAGGGGTGATTTCATTCCATATCTAGGGTTGTTCTCGCCGAAATCATTTGCCCTTTTTAAAACAATTTTTGTTCTTGGAACTGCCAGTAGAGAGTGATGCTATTAGGAATGCTGCAGTATAAAGGCTGATATGGTTTAGTATGGAAACCCGAAGGGAAGAGGTGGGGTGTGAATCTCCTTAACTTCAATGCATTAGGAGTCTCTAAAAACCTCAGCAGTCTCAGTTGCTGAACACAGTTAACTTTGTGTTCAATCTCTCAAGAATCTTAAACTTGCACTAGGTGCAGCACAAGTTTAGAGCACTCCGATCCATCCAACCACTGAATTAAAACAGTGTAATAGTGGCCCTCTCTTTTTCATACATAATTTATTTTTTAGGAGATCCCCTGTGAAGTATCCCAGTATAAAAAAATAAGCAAGTTTTGAAAGCATTAACTCTGCTTCCCCTTTCTTTTCAGAGAACTCTTTTAAAGAAAAGTGGAGTATGTTGTGTTTGCTAGCTTTTTCAGCAGGATGGGGATGGCACATGAGCTAATGCTCTGAAACAGGGGAAGGAGAAAGCAAGAAACAAAGGTACTGCAGATACTTGCAGCAGTATTGTTTCTGTGAACACATACTAATGCTTCTGGGTAAGGTGTTCTCTGTCCTGGCTTTGCAGCATCTGGTATTTTATTCCTTCCTCTTATAAAAATGTTCTGTTGTATCCAGTTGCCCCTGGAAGATGTTATAATGTAGGAAAAGAATCCTTATTACTTTCTTAAGAGCTGAATTAAAAAGGTGTTTCTAGTTGTGTGTGCTGGGAACTGCTGCTGTTTGGAAGGCACGATGTGTCATCTGTTCCTGTCGAGCTGTTTGGATATTGAGAGGGGATGGGGAACACAAATA